CTGGTAGGGGACCTCTGCATGAATCTCTCCTCGCTCTCCGTTCTCTGTCAGTTTTCTCACTCCATTTGGTGCTTGACTGAGTTCTTTATCTCTTCATTTGATGTTTTAGGGTTTCAGGATTGTTGTATTCTCTGTTTGGCTTAGTTTTTCGGATCTTTGCTGTGGAGGGATGGCGTGGTGCTTCTGCCTAGAGCGCATTTTTGTTGCATGGATTTTAATGTTCATAAATAGAGACTCCATAACACAACATTTTCCTAGTGGCTCAGGTATGTCATGATAACCACAGTAATTAAGTGCCTAATGCATGCCAAGTCCTTGGTGAATATTCTCTCTAATTCTAATAACAACCATGTAGGTTAGGCTTTATTATTCCCTTTTTATTGATGAGGAAACTGAAACTCAGAGAAATTAAGTGGCACGTAAAGCTAATCACATCATAACTGGAGAAGCTTCAGTTCAAGTACAAGTCTGTCTGGCTCTTAAGTTCTTATAGGTTTATTTTTTCCAGCATGCTAGTGGTTTTTAAAATATTTTTTTGCAGTGGAACCTTTCCTTCAAATAGCAACTTAACTAGAAACATAATGTCTTAAAACATAAAATTGGAGCTGGGAATACGGTTTGAAAACCACAACATGACATTACGTTGTCTCTTCCCCCTGTGAAATATGTATGGTACTGATTTTTTAGCAAAAATATGGTCTAAAATGACTTTATTATTTTATTACCATAAACATAGCATGTATAATTTATTTTGTTCATGATCAGGCATTGATTATTCACGGGTGTGAAAGCACTGAAGAAATAGAAATAATTTAAACATTGATTTTTAGTGAAAACAAAAAAAATAGTTTTCACATATACACATACACACACAGATTTTTTTTTTTTGCTTTTATACTCTATCAAAAAGGAGGGGTTCAAATGCAGAATGTCACTATTCTTGGACTAGGATTGGGTAGAACAGGAAGATACATTCTCCCTATTTCTTGCTTACCTTGCTACTCTGTGGACCCCTACTAGAATCACACTGGGATGAAGAGCATATGGAATCCTGACTTGATCTCCTACAAGGGGAGGAAGGAATCCCAAGGAGGAAAAGTTAAAATATTCCCTTGTACTCAAAGGGTGCTCTTCTCTGCTTTAATTTCAGTTGATTGCTTCTTCCATCATCTGTGGATATTGAGCCACTCACTTATGAAACCAGTCGTGCTTTATATTTTGTGTCACAAATGTTCATCAGTATGGTGTTGGCGGAGACTGTTGGGGAGCCTCAGCAATTAAGATGCCCCTGTCCTATAGCGTCGCTATGAGTCAGAATCAACTTGATGACAGTGGGTTTGGTTTGGGTCCTGTCTCATGGCTAAGGCTAGATTTAGTCCCAGAGGCTCAGACATTGAGATGGCAGGGAGTGGGATGTGGTTGGGGCTGACAAGCCTGGCTAACCTCTTGCTATACAGTTTCCAGTTTTGGTCTGGTTCTGTCCCTGTGACTCTGCTGGAATGTGCTGAAAAGTGGCTTAAGATGCTAGTGCACATGTATACTGAACAGCCCCTTAAAATAGTCTCAGAATAGTTTTTATGAAATTTCAAGCTAAGATGTAGGGAAGGTGTTGTATTCTGGCTTACCACAGGGCAGCCCAAAAGTAGCCCTGAAGTTTTTGATTTTACTCCAAAGATGTGGTTAACATTGTCTCTTGTCTGAAAACCAGAGCTCTTAAGCATATATAAATAGGAAAAAATAATTGTTCTTAAATATTTAAAAAATAACTCTCTGCTCTATTTGAAATAGATAGGGAACACTCACTTATAGTGCAAGGTATACAAAATCCCCTGCCATCTGATCTTCCATACTTGCTCCAGAAGCCCTTCACATTGATGTTCATAGTGTTAGATTTTGGCTAAGGGTATAGACAAGTGGGCATTTTCCATCTTTGCTACTGTTGTAAAGGAAACTGTGAGGCTGACATAGTAAAGGGACCACCCCACCTACGAAAGAAGTAACGATGGGAAGACAGCTAAAACAAGATAGTCAACCCAACCTAGGTCTTCCCTCAATTGTAGCTTCTTTAATGTGAGGATAAGGAAAACCATTCCTAGATCACCCACATAAGTCCTAGACAATACGACTGATTAGTAACTACCGAGTTACCTTGCACATTCAGGGGTACGGAAGAGGAACAATATGTCATTAACTCTAAAGCGTTTGGGATCCAAGTCAGGGTCCACTGTGAAGCAATCTTCAGGTCGGTACCTGGAAATAGGCACACATTCACATGATAAATCAAGTAACTTACCTTATTTAGACCATATAGCCCATGCAGAAATTATCAACTCATCAAATGCTGATATCTTTGAAAATGGAGAGAAAACCTAGAGGTATAGAGTTTGAACACACCTTCTTTAATGTTGTTGTTGGGTGCTGTTGTGTTGATTTTCAACTCATGGCAACCCCATATGACAGAGTAGAACTGCCTCATACAATTTTCTAGACTGTAATCTTTACAGAAGGAGCCCTGGTGGCACAATGGGTAACAGCTCAGCTGCTAACCGAAAGGTTGGTAGTTCAAACCCACTCAGTGGCTCCATCGGAGAAAAGACCAGGAGATCTGCTCCCGATTTCCGACTAGGAGACCCTACAGGGCAGTTCTACTCTGTCCTATAGGGTTGCTATGAGTTGGAATTGACTCGATGGTACACAACAGCAATCTTTATGGAAGCAGATCACCAGGTCCTTACTTGTGGAGCATTGAGTGGGTTTGAACCGCCAACCTTTTGGTTAACAGCTGAGCGCTTAACCGTTGCACCACCAGGGCTCCTATCTTTAATAAGTCTCTGTATAACAACATGATATTAAGTAGTTTAAAAGTCTTTTGATTTAATTAATTGGTCTAGTCCTCCTACCTAAGGTCAGAGAGTGGGTTTATATAATCCTGTGGAGGAACCTCCTAGGAACCTTCATGTAGTTTTAAGAGTAGGATTCTACTTTTTGAATGAGTGGAGTGGCAAATCTGAATAAAATAGGTACTACTCTTAAGCAGTTTATAATTTAGTAGGGAAGGCAAACAGGTTATTCAGTGATTCCAGTACTCTCGCTGCTCTAGTCTCCTGGAGACCCAGATTCCAAGGAACCATACATATTCCTAGGCAGTTTCCTGGGATCAGAGTGATAATCTCTAACAGTCCCTAATGATAGGCTGCAATGAATGACACTTCATGCTTGGCTCTTAAACCATACTTAACATTTCTTATAGCAAATAGACCTTATAGCAAATGCCCCTTTTCCCTTAGTGGAAATTACCTCTGCTAATTTGGGCTGAAGAGTGGTGAAGGAGCCTTCTGGGGAGTGAACCAGGCTGAAAAGAGAAGCTTATGGCTTAATGACTTGTTGAGCTCAAAATTTTTAGATATTTCTGCTGTGCAGATGGGTCAAATAGTGAAGTGGGTTATCAGTTAGCAAGAACAATTTTGAATTTGGGCCAAATAAAATGTGAGACTTTGAACAGGAAGAGAAGGGCTATTTCTCTTGATTGGTGAAAGAATCTTTAGGCCAAGTTTGAAGCAGAGGTAGGGATGGCCTCTGCCTTGAATATAAAAAACATTTTCAGTTTTAGAGTCTTTAAATTACCTTATGTAGTCTGTGCTAAATTATGTTTGGAAAAACACTCCAGTGATTCTAAATCAATTGTTTAAATGTAATCATCTTCATATAGGAAGGGGACACTACATATGACCCACTACAGTTAGTTGTTTTTCTCTGATTCGGTGTGGAATTTACATGCATCCTTGATAAAATGCTGGGCACTTCAATAAGGAAGATCTTCATCTTTAAATTGGGAATATTCTCAGGGGAGCTGCCTACCCTTTAGGCTGTGGAATTAGGACTATGGTCTGTGCCTTTTTAGTGCACCTGCTTAGTCTGTCTACTGTGGTGGTTGTTGTTAGATGTTGTCGAGTCGGTTCAGGCTCATAACGACCCCATGCACAACAGAAGGAAGAAGGACCTGGTGGTTTACTTCTGAAAAGAATTAGCCAGTCTACTAGTGAGTCATATACAAGCTAACACTTACAGTGTGAGAACTGCATTAATCAGAGGGTGAGGAATTGTGCAATATATGTCACACAGTATCTACACATGCAGGTATCAAATGACAGGTGTAACTCTGTGAGAAAGGCCTAACAGCAAGGAGTGGAGAGAAGAGACTGAGTGATGACAGGGGTTCTAGGGGCAGAACCCAGAAGAACATAGTCTAAGGTAGAAAGGAACGTGTCTGCAGAAACAGCATTTCAACTAAAGGTTAAAAGGGGAAAAAATCTAGGGTCCAAACAAGGAAGGAACATTTCCCTGCAAAACTTGGCTAAAAGTGATGACTCCGACATGGACTAAAAGAGAGTAGGCCCAGTAGACCAGTAGTATGTAAGGTACTGTAATCAGAGAAGCAGAGATTTACTTTGCATTTTCTTCTCCAACTCCCTATTCTCCCCCTCCTTTATACATTTTCCCTTCCACCAAGTGCCTGGATAAAATTTGTTTTTATTGTTAAGGTTAATGTTTATTGTTACGGTTCTTGGCGATCCACCTCTTGTGCCTCAAAGTGAAATTTTACAAACCCCCTTGACATACAGTATCCACATGCTTGCCTATAACCCATTACACAGTTAGAGAAAGTGAATTAATTACAATCTATCCATTGCAAATGATGCATTATTTCCTTTACAACCAACGGCAAAAGCATTTAGAAACGGTGACGAGGAGAGGGTAAAATTTGGGGCATGGTACAAAGCAAATCTAATTGATGAAGTTGTAGAAATGCATCTGCCACGTTGGCCCTTGTTGGCATTATCCTGTAATAAATTGGATGTGTAGGGGTAGAGAATGAAAAGGAAAATCTATCTAGGATGCTCCTTACTATTTGACTTTGGTGACTGTGAATGGATGGAGGTTGTCACTGGGAATTCAAGAAGTGGAAATGTTTAGCGGGAGGTGCAGGTTGGGAAGGAGTTTTGGGCATGTGGGGCTTTAAGGGTCTTGGTAGCACTCTAGGTTGGAAATTGCCATTCAGCAACTGGATATACGTGTTTAAAGCTCTGGAGAGATCAGCGTTTGATATTATTTTGTATTTTAAGTATTTGTTGAGGCTGTGAGTTTGGACAACATCACATAATGAAAATAAAGGGTCAAAGCTCTTGGGAATACAGATACTTAAGGTTCACCTTATTCATATCATTCTGGGATTTAGATGTTAGAACATAGTTGTCTCATGAACATAACCTCCTGGAAAGCCTCCTTTGAGTTATCACCATGTTCATATCTAGTTTTGTTTTGTTTAAGTGTTGCATGCTGCTTTGGCTCTTCTGCTGTGCAACTTATATTTTTTAAGGAAAGACACAACTTACACTTCTGTGACGGTAGATGTTGCAAAATTCCATAGGATGATCACACCGTTTAAGGTTCCAGCAGCTATCAAGTTATACCCTTCCAATTGTAATAAATCAATGCAGTTCACATCTATACTGAAGGCAGGATTCTAAAGGAGAAAAGAAGTAGATTCACCCACCGTCATGATAACATTATCTAAAAACAGTAAAAACAATATATTCACACTCTTTAATACTGCCATTAATTTAAAACAAAATATCTTATTCTTCTTTCTGGCATTAAAAAATTATAATTCGTAGAATTCATTAAAACAACAAAAATATACTCTCCCTCTCTACTGGCTCCTTCTTCTCAGTCTTGATTTATTCTTTCTTGACCTACCAATGCATTAGGTTACATTCTCATCTTTCTTTCCCTTCAAATTTCTTGAAAGAATATTCTATATTAACAGTTTCACTTACTGATCCCCATTTACTCAACAATCCTCATCGTCTGGCTTCTGCCCCATAATAGTCTATGGGAACTTTTTCTAATTATCACTAAGAGCTTCCTATTGCCAATTCTATTTGACACTTTTCAATTGTCTTGCCTCAATTGTTTTTGAGTATCTCATATGTTTGTCAATTTGTCATATCATGGTAGCTTGAGTGTTGCTATGATGCTGGAAGCTATTCTACCAATATTTCAAATACTAGCAGGTCATCCATGGTGGACAGGTTTCAGCAGAGATTCCAGACTAAGGCAGGCTAGGAAGAAAGTCCTATTGATCTGGTTCCAAAAATCAGCCAATGAAAACCCTATGTATAGCAATAGAACACTGTCTAATATATACTGCTGGAAGATGAGCCCATCAGGTTGGAAGGCACTCAAAATACAAATGAGTAAGAGCTGCCTCCTCAAAGTAGAGTTGACCTTAAGGGCACTAATGGAATAAAGTCTTCAGGATTATCATTTGCTGATATGCACAACTCAAGAAGTAACTGTCACAAAATATTCATTAGTAATCGAAATGTAGAATGTATGAAGTATGAATCAAGGAAAACTGGAAGTCACCAAAAATGAAATAGAACACTTGAAGATTGATATTCTAGGCACTAGTGAACTGAAATGGACTGTTATTGGCCATTTTGAATCCGACAGTCACATGGTCTACTATGCCGGGGACGACATATTGAAGCAGAATGGCATTGTATTAATTATTAAAAAAGAACATTTCAAGATCTATCCTGAAACACAATGCTGTTGATGATAGGTTAATATCCATGCTCCTACAAGGAAGACCAGTTAATACAATTATTGTTCAAATTTATGCACCAACCACAAATGCCAAAGATGAAGGAATTAAAGATTTTTACGACCTGCTACAGTCTGAAATTGACAGAATGTGCAATCTAATTGCATTGATAATTACTGGTGATAGGAAAGTAAAGTTGGAAACAAAGAAATAAATACTTAAATACCTCCCATCTGAATTTAGATACCATCTCAGTAATAGATATGACCCACTGAACACTATGACTAAAGACCAGAAGAGTTGTGGGAAGACATCAAGGATATAACAAATGAAGAAAGTGAAAGATCATTAAAAAGAAAGGAAAGAAGAAAAAGCTACAGACCCCACATTTCTCAGAAAATAAATTTGCATACAATTTCAGAGACCTTTTTGTTGTTGTTGTTGTTGTTAGTGGCCATGGAATCAGCTCTGACTCATGGTGACCTTATGTATAATGGAATGGAACGGTGCCTAGTCCTACACCATCCTCTTAATCGTTGGTATGTTGAACCCATTGTTGCAGCTATTGTGTCAGTCCATCTCACTGAGGGTTCCTCTTGTTTTTACTGACCCTCTACTTTACCAAACATGATGTCTGCCCTAGGTTGGGTTCTCTAGTGGAGCAAAACCAGTGAAATGTATATATATAGATACATATCAAGAAATTTAATTCAAGGAAATGGCTCACTCAGTTGTGGAGGCTGGCAAGTCCCAAAATTCATGGGTCAGGCATCGGGATGGAGGCTTCTCCTGACTCACATGATTGCAGGGGCTGATGAACCCAAAATCAGCAGGTCAGATGACAAGCTGACTCACGTCCCAAGAACCAGAGGTCAGATGATGATGAGTTAGATGCAGGATCCAGAGTGAGAGTGAGCCTTGCTGGAACATCCATTTATATACTGGGGGCAGGCCATACCCCCAAGGATATTTCCTTTTCAGCTGATTGACTGCTCATAGCAGATCTCATCATGGAAGTTGTTACATTGTAGCAGATCTCATCATGGAGGCGACTTCATCATATCAGATCTCATCATGGAGATGATTACATTATATAACATTATGGACAGGAAATCAGTCCAATGTCTCCAAACCGCTAAGAATCATAGCCTAGATAATGTATAAGGGCTTCTTAAAACTGCGGCTCTCAACATGACTAAGTGACTGACACACAAATCTGAATCAAACTCTTCTGCCCTAAATCCCTGCTTCTAGTTTCAGAATATATGCACCCCTCCCCCGTTGGCTGAGCAAGTATGTGGTTGTGGTTACTTAAAACTGTGATAAAAATGTTCTGTTCTCAGAAAGAATACTTGTAAGTAATGTATGACAAAGTTGTGGATTATAGTTAAGCAAATGATAAGAATGTTCTGGAAAGAGAATAACAAGAACATCCCCCCAAAAGATGTTTACATAAGATTGTTCTCAAGAAATTGCTTATGCAGTTTGCCCCCTAAAAGTCTGTGATTAGTTGATATTATGAGTTAATTGATACTATAAGTTTACTTGTGACTGATACATAACCCTCAGCCCTTCGCGACTCATGTGTAACCCGCAGCCCTCCTATATAAAAATCTCTCTCTCCTTTCGGACTTTGCAGCACTTGGTATTTTACCAAGTATTTGCCCAGCTTCGGCTGTAACAAATCCACAATAAAACTCTATCATTTCTCTCCTTACAGAGTTCTGGTTATTTTTTTACACTTTGACACCAAGTTGACACATGACATTAATCATCACAATATCCTTTTTAGCAATTGGAGAGACTTTTTAGGCCCTTAGAGTCCACCTTGGACAGGGAGTCCATGCATCCCAGATTAAGGACTCTGGCTCTGTAACTTTTGAAAATATATCATTCAGTACTTATCAGGAAATACATCTCTTTTTCTGTGGTGTGGGAAGCAAAGCTAGCTGCTTTAAGTGAATTTATAATTTTGTAATTCTGAGGATACCTTGAAAACATAGTCTGATCGTACATTTTCCTTATTTAGGTTTAAAAGCAATAAAAACACCAACAACAAAACAGGTGCCTTTATAATAGGCCAAATAATGTCACTAGAGCAAAATAAGAAACCTTAGAAAAAGGAAACATGAAAAAAGAAAGCCGGAATTTCATTAATTGCCATTGAGAAATCTAATTAAATTTATATAATGTAAAAATGGTAGAATAATAATTGGCCAAAAAAGTGAATATTCATCTTGTGACCTCTGGATATGGCCCCTTATAATAAAAATCGAGGAGAAGCTAAAGCTTCTAGCTATTTTTAGAGAGATGAGAAGATGAAAGACTAATGGACTTCCAGTGGAGCCTGAAGAACACTTGTGATTATTTCCCAGCTGAGATCTCTGATAACAAGAAACCTCATCTACACCCAGCTGCCATAAGTTAGCATTGCCGTGGCAAAAAAGACCATATATGAAATGAATACAGTTAAGAAACTAGAAAAAAGTATTTGCAACTTATTTCACAAATTAATATCCCTAATGTATATATTATATATAATATGTATATATATCTGTATGAATTCCTAATATACCTAATATATAAAGAGCTTTTTAAAACATTAAAATTAAAACCAAGAGTCTGGATGGAAAAATGGACAAAAGATGCAAACAGACTAATCTCACTGAGGATTTTACACATGTAAAAAAGCTTCTACACGTATTAAAAAGATGCTCAACTCACTCAGTACAAGAAAAATGCAGAGTAAAAAATGTAGCACGTTACCATTTTTCATCTCTTAGATTAGCAAAAATCTAAAAGTTTGACAATATACTCTGTTGGTGAAGCTGAGAAAATAGGCGCTCTCATAGATTGCTAGTGGGAATACAAAATTGTATAACTGCTGTGGAGGAGAATTTGGCAATACCTAGAAAATTACATTAGCAGTTATTTTTTGACTCAGCAATCCCTCTTCTAGAAATCTAACCTAAAGATGCACTGTTAGAAACCCAAAATGACATACGCATAAGGCTATTTGTTGCAGCACTATTTGTAATTGGAAAATATTGGAAACAACCCAAATGTCCACCCACAGAGGACTAATTGAATATAGTGCATTCATTAAAATGGAATACTATAGAGCTTTAAAAAAGAAAGACGAAGATTTGTATATACTTCTTATAATGATCTCCAGAATATATTGTTAAATAAAATAAGCAAATGTCTTAATTATCTAATGCTGTTATAACAGAAATACCACAAGTGGATGACTTTAACAAACTGAAATTTATTCTGTCACAGTTTTGGAGGCTAGAAGTCTGAATTCAGGGCACCAGCTCTAGGGAAGGCTTTCTCTCTTTGTCGGTTCTGGGGAAAGTTCTTGTGTCCTTTCAACATCTGGGGCTTGGCATTCCTTGGAGATCTCCATGGGTCTTGGCATCAATCTTTTCCTGGGTCTAGGAGATTCTCAGCACAAGAACTTCGGGTCCAAAGGATGCGCTCCTCTCCCAGCTCTTCTTTCTTGGTGGTAGTGAGAGCCCTCCCCTGTCTGCTCCCTTCTGTCTCCTTTTATCTCTTGTAAGGCTATGACTCAAGGTACACCCCACACTGATCCTCCCTCTTTAACATACAGAGGTTAGGATTTATAACACATCACATGTGGAGGATAATTACATCAGATTACAAAATGGAGCACAACCACACAATACTGAGAATCATGGCCTAGCCAAGTTAACACATATTTTTGGGGGACATAATTCAGTTCATGACATACTATACTTTGGCGCCCCCAAAATTCACGTCCTTGCCACATGTAAAACACATTCACCTCATCATATCATCCCGAAAGTCTTAAATCAATTCCAAGTCCAAAATCTCATCTTCTAAATCATCTAAATCAAATATGGGTGAGATTTTAGGCATATTCCACCCCGGGGAAAAATTCCTCTTCATCTGTGAAATGTGAAATCTAGACTACAAGTTATCTGTTTCCAAAGTACGATGGTGGAATAGGCAAAAGGTAGACATTTCCATTACAAATGGGAGAAACTGGAGGGAAAGAAGGGATAGCAAGCACCAAGCAAGTCTAAAACCCAGCAGAAAAAATTACATTAGTTCTCAAGGCTTGAAAATAATCCTCTATTCTCTGAGACCATTTAGGCAATGGCCCTGCCCTCCAGAATCTGGGTGTTGGCCACACCCCCTGGATTCTGGGTGGGGGCCTCTTGGATCTGGACTTCAGCTCAGCCTTCCAGGCCCATTCGCATGACAACCCTGCTCCCTTGGCTTTGGGTGGCCCCATTCTCCTAGTCCTTCTGAGTGGCAACCCCACCCCTTCGGCCCCCGCAGCACCCATTCTTCTGCCCCTTAAGCATGACAACCCCACCCTCTCAGCTTTGGGCAGTGGTCCCATGCCCCCAGCACACCTTCATGGCAGCTGCACACTCTCACACTCTGGAACTGAGTTGGCAAAGATCCAACTCTTTGAAACGTAGGAAGCTGTGGCCCCACCCTTTAAGATCCAGGAGACCGTGGCCCTACACTTTGAAATTAAAAGGCCCTGCTTCCAGTGCTCCTTCCAACAGTTCTGCTGATCTCTGAGCTACTCTAGAGATGGTACTTTTTTTTTTCTTGGAGGACAACAGATGTAGCTCCTTTGGTCTGCTTCCTTCCTGTAGAATTTCAAGAGGCAGACAATGATCTTTCCTTCCATTCTTTCTCTGCCCCCTTCAGTCTGAGCTGATGGGTTTTCTGCTGTGGTAGTTGGTTAGATCCATTAGTCACAGGTTTAATCTCCTTAACAAAAGATTGTATAGCCACATCCTTGGTGAACATTCTAGGACATGTGTCCTTAGTTTGTACAACAGAATTTCCCAAATCTTTAAGTTCTGTTTTCATTTAGCATAGCACATTTTAAAGTCCATCTCTTTCCTCTCACATTTTACTATAAGTGTCAAGGAGGAACCACGCAGTCCCTTTAAGATCTTGCTTAGAAATCTCATCTGCCAGATATCCAAGTTCATTGCTTACAAGTTCTACCTTCCACCAAATATTTGAACATAATTCAGACAAGTTCTTTGCCACTGCATAAGAAGCATCACCCTTCCTCCATTGTCCAATCACATGTTTATCATTTTCTTTTAAAGCCTCACCAGAAGCACATTTAATATTTACATTTCTAGCAACATTCTGTTGCTCACACCACATGCATTCTCGAAGATGATAGAGACTTTCTCTATAGCTCTCCTGACTTCTTTCTGAACCCTCATCAGAATTGCCTTTGACGTCCATGACTCTACCAATAGTCTCTTTAAGGCAATCTAGGCTTTTACTATTAAGCACCTTAAAAGTCTTTCAGCCTCTACCCATTACCTAATTCCAAAACTGCTTCCACATTTTAGGTATCTGTTAGAGCAGCACCCCACTCTTCTGGTACCAAACTCTGTCTTAGTTATCTACTGCTGCTGTAACAGAAATGTCACAAGTGGATGGCTTTAACAAACAGAAATTTATTCTCTCAGTTTAGAAGGCTAGAAATCCGAATTCAGGGTACCAGCTCTAGGGGAAGGCTTTCTTTCTCTGTCAGCTCTGGGAGAATGTCCTTGTGTCCTTTCAACATCTGTGGGCTCAGCATTCGTTGGAGATCTCCATGTGTCTTGGCATCATTCTTCCCCTGGATCTAGGACGTTCTCAGTGCAGGGATGCACTCTGCTCCCAGCTCTTCTTTCTTGGCGGTAGTGAGCTCCCTCTCCTCTCTGCTTGCTCCTCTTTTTATCTCTTGTAAGATAAAAGGTGTGACTCAAGCAAGGGTGTAACTTGAGTCACACCCTCTTATACAGCTGTGACTCAAGATACACCCCACACTGATCTTGCCTCATTAACATGTAGAGGTTAGGATTTGCAACACATTACAAAATGGAGGATAATTATATTGGACCATAAAATGAAAGACAACCACATAATACTGGGAATCATGGCCTTGTTAAAATGACATATATTTTTGGAGGATACAATTCAATCCATGACAACAAAGAATGGAAGAATGTGTGCAGTATTCTACCTTTTGCTTAAGAAAAGTTGGAGGGGATATAAATAAGGATAAGCATGTGATTATATTTTTTTAAAAAAAGTTGAAAACATAAATCAAAAACTTAAAAACAAAAGGTGGACTACAGGTTAGAGAGCGAATAGCATGGCAGGAATAGGTATAGAAGTTGAAATTCTTGGAATAGATTTTGTTTTATAGATTTGATTTTGGAATTATTTAAATATTTTGCATAATAAAACAAAAGTAAAATTTTAAGAAGCAATAAATATAAAGCAAAATGAAACTAATTCTAGCAGTGTATTGAGCTGGTGACACAGGGAATTATTTCAAATAATTTTTATGCATAGTAATTTGGCTATACATTCTGGGTGATATATACCCCAAAGACAAAAAGAACTGCAAAAAAAACAATATCTTGAACTGTTTTCAGCTATCCTATTCGTAGTAATTTTATTGTTATTCTGAAACTATAATACAGTATAATATAAATGTATATTCTATATGTATGTATATATATACACACATATACACTGTATATATACACATATGTATACACTACATATATATATATCTATACACACATATAATATCATTATAGGCTATATATACATAATGCCTATAATGGTATTATATTCAAAACCCAATCCATCGCCATGGCGTTGATTCTGATTCATAGTGACCCCATGTGTTACAGAGCAGAATTGCTCCACAGGATTTTCTTGGCTGTAATCTTTACGGAAGCAGATCGCCATGCCTTTCTTCTGTGGCACAGCTGGGTAAGTTCGAACTGCTAACTTTTAGGTTAGTAGCCAAGCACAAACTGCTTATGCCACATAGGGATTTGTATCTTATATAATATCTATCTATCTATTAATCATAGGATAAAACAAATAAGTAATACGTTAATGTCTTTAGGAACCAAGATTCTCTGTAAGAGAAAGAGGATATTAAATAAAATCAGTAAAATACATGTAATTTATGTTTGAAATGGAAATATAAGTAGAAACTAATGATGTATTTTCTCTTAAAAATTGTTCCTACCTCTGTCCATTAACATGGTTTAAAAATAAGGACCAACTCAGTAGCAGCGGGCATCTGTAGAAACCCTATTGTAATCTCTTCATACTATTTCCTACTAAAAACAAAAACAAACAAAAAATAAACTAAGATTTCTTGGAGAAATATCAGATTCCAGATCTGGGACAAGAAAAGTACAAGATGAGCCTGGAATATCTTGCCATACCTGGAAGCTATCCAGAGCTACTAGGGTCCTGTCAAAAGAACTCGGGAGCCTGAAGAGGCTCCAACCAGATTGAAATGAGACAATTTTGACATCAATAATAATAATAAATTCAACTGAGTGAAACATATCAAGATTATTTAAAATTTGTGAATTGATAATGATATTAAACAAATAAATAGAATTCACTAGTCACTTTGGATGATGCTAGGGAACCAACTCCTTGTTTTGAAAACTGATAAGTATAAGGAAAGAATTAATCATTGATCTTGTCTTTCCTGTATGAACAGTTCTTCACGGTAACAAAATAGTTGATGGAGAATTTTTCTTTAAAGACACATTCCAGCTAATAAATGAGGCCGAACAGTGCAATTATAATATCACCATTTTGCAGCTCTTAATAAAATAGTGAGGACAGTGGTGGTTCAGTGGTAAAATTATCACCTTCCATGCAGGAGACTTGGGTTCGATTCTTGACCAACACACTTCAAGCACAACCACCGGCCTGTATCTGTGGAGGCTTGAGTGTTGTTATGATGCTAAACAGGTTTCAGCAGACCCTCCAGACTAAGACAGACTAGGAAGAAAGCCCTGGCAATCTACTTCTGAAAACTCTATGGATCACAACGGTTCCATCATGTTGTGCCTGGGTTTGCCAACTCTATGGCAGCTAATAATAACAATGAAATAATAGACCTAAGTGGTGATCATCAATGGCTGCTGATCTCCAAAAACAACATCGTCATTATGTGAATCTTGATGGAAGTACACAACATCATCTGTGGAGGAATCTTGGGGAGAAAACATCAAATCTGTAATCAAACCACTAGATTGATTTACCAAGTTCCTTTACAGAGGAACCTCTGCAATGACCCCACAAGGATGTGATCTGCAAAATCCAGAAAGTGAGAACCAATACACAGACTGTCCAACTTATTCAATGAATAAATTGCAAGGAAAACAAGAGAGGAGAGAGGGAGAAATTTATAGATTAAAAGAGACTTGTCAACCAAGTGCAACAACAAATGGACCTGATTTGGATCTTGGTTGAAACAAACTAAAAAAAAAAAAAAATTATGAGGAAATCTGGGAAATTTGAACACCGGGTGAATGTGTGATGGTAAATTATTTTAGTTGTGATAACGTTATTATTGTTATATTTTTAAGAATCAGTATCCTTTAAAGATATAGACTGAAATATTTAGGGATGAAATGATATAATATTTGGCATCTGCTTCAAAATAATCTATTGGTGGTGGTGCTGGGGAAGTGGTGAGAATATAAATGAATTAAGTTTGGCTGTGCATAGGGAAGTTTTGAAGCTGAGTTGATAGTACATATAGGTTTGTTGCATTATCTTCTCTACTTTTGTATATTTTTGAACTTTTCCATATTAAAAGGTAAAAATTGAAAAAAATCAGGAAATTTAACTTACATTGGCATATCGAGATACTTTTCTATCAAGTATCAATTCGACCTCTGGGAAAGGACTGTTTGTGCTCTTTGGTTTAGCAGACGCCCTCAGATGCACGACACGATTCCCATCTTGTAGGAAAGGCGCAACATCAGGTAGCTCCCATATCACCGTGAGGAAAATATCCTCTTCCTTACCCTTTAGTAGAAATCCAGTGAGTATAGAGAAAAACAGAACATACAGTCATACACAGCAAATCTTTTTGTTGTTGTTAGTTGCCGTCAGGTCAGCACTGACTCATGGTAACCTGATGTACAATAGAATGAAATGTTCATTTGTTGCTGTGTCCTGTGCCATCTTCATGACCGTTGGTATGTTTGAGTACATTTCTGTGGCTATTGTATCACTCCATCTCACTGACATTACAAAATCTTAAGCCAGCCTATTCCTCACTAAGGAGTCCTGCTGGTGCAGTGGTTAAAGCTTTCAGCTGCTAACTGAAAGGTTGATGGTTCAAACCCATTAGCTGCTCCGCGGGAGAAAAGACCTGGTGATCTGCTCCCTAAAAATTTCAGCCTCAGAAACCCTATGGGGCAGTTGTACTCTGTCCTATAGGGTCACCATGAGTCAGAATCGACTTGACAGCACACAAAAACATCCCTGTCTAAAATAATTCCCTTTTCTCCTTCCCTCCCCAGCGGTAACCACTAACTGGAATATGGTGTTAGTTATGAAAATTTATGAAAGTTGTATGTGTGAGTCTGTCTGTCTGTATGTATTTGTACTCTCACACCCAAACAAATAGAATATTGTTTTCAGGCTTTTTAAACATTTTTTTTACAAATGTTATCAAACTGTATGCATTCATCTTCAACTTGTTTTTTTAACATAATGTTGTGTTTTTGAGAATTACACAAGTTGTTACATGGAGCTCCAGCTCATCTACTTTTAACTGCTTTATGGTATTGTGTAAATATACTACAACTTACTTATCCGTTCTTCTAATGATGGATGTTTAGGTTGTGGTCAATTTTTCACTGCCTGTTTTTAACGGTTGTGTGCCATAGGTTTTAACGGATGTGTGAATTACTAAGTTGTAAGACATCATCAACTTTACTAGATATTACCAAATGGCTTTTCAACGTAGTGTTACTCATTTGCACTCCCACCAGGAGTGAGAGTTCTCCTTTCTTTACATTCTTGCCAACACTTAGTATTACTTGATTTTTTTTAATTTGCTCATTTGATGAGTTCGAAATGGGATAATTTTTAAATTAATTTTAAAATGCATTAATTATATTAATCACCTTTTCCTAATTATTAGTGAGTTGAACATTTTTTCATATATTTGTTAGCTATTTCTTACCTGCCCTTTGTCCATTTTTTTTTTGTTATTGTTGGGTTATTTGTATTTCTTCTGGATTCATAGGATTTCTTTAGATACTCTGGTTCCTAATAGTTTATCAGTTATTTGGGGTGCAATTGTCTTTTTACAGTCTGTAACTTGTCTTTTCACTTTGTTTTTTAAGATAAGTTTTTAATTTGAATGTATTAAGTGTATCTGTTGATATGAAATCTTCTCATCTGTGAATATGGTATATATCTTCATTTATTATCCAGGTTGATTTTTATGTCCTTCAAGGTTTTTTTTTTTTTTTTTCATGAAACTTTTGCATATTGTTATGGATTGAATTGTGTCCCCCACAAGATGGTGAAGTCCTAACCCCTGTCTGTTCATGTCACCTTGTTTGGGGAAATAGGGCTTTTCTTTTTAGATGTTATGAATTAACGAGTTCCTATCAGAGTAGAAAACTGAAAAACCAAACCCTTTGCCAACGAGTCGATTCCAACTCATAGCGACCCTATAGGACGGAGTAGTACTGCCCCATAGGGTTTCCAAGGAGTGGCTGGTAGATTCAAACTGCCAACCTTTCGGCTGGCAGCCATAGGTCTTAACCACTAAGCAGCCAGGGTTTCCTATCAGAGTCCAGTGGGACCTGATCCCTTCTGAGTGGTATCTTATAAAAGGGCAGAACAGACACAGAAATAGAGTCACACAGGGACCACACCATGTGAAGATACATCTATAAGCAGCAAAAGAAAGCCAAGGATTGCCAGCAGAATCCAGAAACTGGGAGAGAAGCATGAAACAGTTTCTCTCTAAGAACCCTCAGAAGGAATCAACACGGCCAATACCCTGGTTTGGACTTGTAGTCTGCAGAACTGTAAGACAATAGATTTCTATTCTTTAAAGCTGCCCACTTGGTGATATTTTGTTACTGTAGCCCTGGGAAACTAAGACACACGTTTTTGTTCTTCTAGGTGCCTTATTTTTGGTAACAGCTGTGGTAAAGTGAAGAGAATATTGGTCTAGGAGTGAAGAGAGCAGATTCTAGTCTTAGCTGTAACAGGACCTTGGGCAAGGTGTGTATCTTCTTTGGGTCTTATTTTCCTCATTAGTAAAAGGAGCACCTCAGCTCCTTTCATGGATGAAAGCCCTTCCACTATTAAAGGTTTATAATTTGAGATTTAGATCTAAGGCCTCTTATATCATATCTATGTTAATTTAAAAGTTTGGGCCAATGACAGTCCTACCCACTAGCTGATTCTTTGGTTAGAATTTGTACTGTTGTGGGAATGGAAGGAATCTCAGGAATAGCCAGTGATCAAGTATTGATATATTGAGCTAAGTTAGATGCTTGTGCTCCTTTGATGATGTGAGCTGGCTGCAGTGGTTTTAACAGGTTTAGCTGGTTTCAACTGAATCACTTGGGACAGTGGTTCTCAGACTTTATGAATTCATAGAGCAGTAAAATTTCAAAAAACGATTTTTAAAGCTTGAGCTAGAGTTACTAACATTCAATTTTACTAAATGAGGGTAATGGGGGAGGGGCGGCTCTACTGTCATCATCCTATGAGAAGAAAGGCTGTTTTAATACCAAGAAAGTAGGAAAGATACAATCTTATAATTTAAAAAAGTAAAATAAGCTTTATAAAAAATTGCACTTATTTTCTTCATTTCACCCCTAATTGGTGAAACCTTTCATCTTAGGTTGGTATTGGCAGGCCTTTAGGATTCAATGCTTTAGGAAATAGCAGTTCACATAATGCTCAGAGCCTGTATTATGTTAATTGCTTCATAAAAAAAAATCTTTTGCACTAACAGGCCTACAAAAAGGGCTCCAAGAGAAGATCCATAAGGTGATGTGGATAAAAAGGACAAATAAGGAGAAGTAAGTGGATCTTTAGAATTTGAGTTAGTTTTGGGTCAATTAATCACCCTCTCCTCTAAACTCCCACAGTGCTTTGTTCATAATGTTAGAGAAATAGTTTTTCACCATCCTATGGTTTTCTCAACAAGGGTCTTAGTGTAAATTTATCCCCAATTTACCAAACATTTTATGTAGGCAGAATTCAATTCTATCCCCTTACACCTGGGATCATGAAAAAATTATTATTCCCTTCTCTTAAGGTTTACGAAGTTGTATTAATAGAATGGTCACTTTATAATCCATCCTCTCATTACATGGCTACAAGACCATGCCCAGAAAATCAAGCACAGTGATGACTTATGACCAGACCAGACAGCTGCACAAGGATTTTTTTTCTGAAACTTGAGCAATAAAGCCAAGAAGACTATAAGTGCAAGAACGAGACATTTCAAGCTATTAAGGACTGGTCTGAAACATTAAAAAGAAGTACATAAAACTTATGGATACTCTGCCTTAGGTCATAATGCCTTAGCAATGCTTCCCAAATAACTGAAGCAGTTTTTAAAAATGTGGCGGGAAGTCTGGGAAGATAATGTCTGGTGCGTCTTTCCATCCACCTTCCTGTGCCCAGCAGTTTCTGGGGAAGCAGAGAAATGGGGTTTGGAGTTTGGAGAAAGGGAGTTTTTATGGAACTTGTTCCCCTCTAGGCTGAACAAAAGCCCAGGGACCAGGATGGGAGAATCCTAAGATGAGATCTGAACATGGTGGCTGATCTGCAAATATGCGTAGATCCCTATAGGTGGGTGGGTGAAGGGGACAATGTGTGTCAGGTAGATGAGGTGGCATCTGCCTAGTTTACCTTGCCTCCAGGGAGATGAGAAGTAGCTAAACGTGTGTAATGATATCTTACTGGGATTCTAATTTGAATTTTCCTGATAACTAATGAGGTTAACAACTTTTCCTAGGTTATTGGCCATTTGGATTTTGTTTTGTGAAGTACCCATCTTTTTTTTTTTTTTTTCTTACTGAACTGTTTACCTTATTTCTTATCTAAGAACTTTCTAAGAGTTCTTTATATATTTCGGATATGAATCCAGTATTTGTTATTATATGTTACAAACATCTTTTCTATTCTTGTCTTTTCATGCTCATTATAGTGAATTTTGATAAGGAAAAGTTCTTAGTTTTAATGTGGTCAAATACATCCATCTTTTCCTTTATAATTAGTGATTTCTGAATCTTATTTACAATAATTCTTTATCTCGAGCTCATAAAAACAATCTCCTATATTAACTGCTAAAACCTGTGTTATTTTGCCTTTCAATTCATGTCTTTATGCCATTAATCCACCAGGAAAGATAACTTTTTGGTGGGAGTTCAAAATTTAGTTGTTTTTTTTTCCCCCCCAATATGGATGCCTAGTTGCTCCCAAACCATTTATTGAAAAATCGATTCTTGCCACACAAATCTGCAGTACTTCTTCCATCATATATGGAATTATTTTTCTTCAATTGCTCTATTTATTTCTGTCTGTGCCCAAACATCATTGTCTTGTTTCCTTGTGTGCTTGGTTGTTTTGACTGTGGCTTGAGATGAAGGTACCTTCCTCCAGAAAGGATTTATGTTTGTTGCTGCCAGGTGACTGGTAGAACTACCAGTTTTGAACTACCTTAAACCGAGTTCATAGTTTGAGATTTTCTGACCACGTAAGTATTGCCAATCTGGGTTGCAAGTGCACATGAGAGTCCATCTGTGGCCACAGCTTCTCAGAGACAGGATTTTGTCTTGTTTCGTTTTCCTTCCCCTCTCCTTTCTTCCTGCCTGGCTCAGTGTCAAGGCGCCCTTTCCTGCATTGCCTCTGGGAAGCTGGCTTCTTTTCTTTCTGGATCACCCTTGCCCAGAGTGTAACTTTTGGGTCCCAGGTTATTGTAGACATGGTATTCAACTCCCTGCCTTGGGCAGGCCCTGGACTTTGATTTCTTTGCC